CATTATCAAATTTTGTAAATAATAAAGCTTAAACAAGCTAAAATATCTGCTAATGGGGCAAGAAAAATCATCTTATTTAGCTTTGAATTAAGATAATTTTTCTTACCACATTGGCAGATAGTTTTGCTTAAAGAATGTTTAGATATTTATACTAGAAAACAAGACAAAAATACTGAGTAAGAGAATCATTTTTTGCAGTGGACAGACAGAAAGAGGAAAGAGACACATGCCTGAATCAACAGAGGAAGAAAAAAGCGGAAGAGGACAAGAGAGACAGAAAGAGAAGAGTTAAACTCCATTCAAACAAACTGACTTCTGTATTCTTCTGTATTTAGAGAAGCTGTGAGTGGCGACGGTTTGATAGCAGAGCAATAAAGACATGAGAGACAAAGAACAAAACACACACACACACACTCTCTCACACACTCTCTCTCACACACACACACACACACACACACACAGAGAGAGAGCAGAGAAACAGGCTGAGCAACACACCAAAAAAGGGCTGGAGCTGGAGGTTCTGCTTGCTGGAGAAACACACAGACACACAGACAGACGGACTGAAGGACTGGGCTTCAGGAATCATGGAGCAGGGCTGTGGATGAGCAGGATTTCCACCATGTCCACGGGCCCCGGGCCCCCAGGGGCCACTCCTGTGAACGAGCCGGACCAGAGCGCGGCGGGTCACACCAAGGGCCCCGTGGGCCTGCAGACGCTGCTGGATCTGCTGGTGGGAGTTTATCAGGAGTTCAGCTCGGCTGCTCTGCTCAGAGAGAAATATGTGCAGCGCTTTCTGCAGTGGGGTCAGTACTATCTTCATCCTCCTCATCCTCTCTCTCTGTGCGTGTGTGCGAGCGTGTGTGTGTGAGTGAGTGAGTGAGTGTGAGTGAGTCTGTGTGAGTGTGTGTGTGTGTTTGTGTGTGTGTCTGTGTGTGTGTGTTTATGAGCTGTGTGTGTGTGTGTGTGTGTGTTGTGTGTGTGTGTGTGTTTATGAGCTGTGTGTGTGTGTGTGTTTATGAGCTGTGTGTGTGTGTGTTTATGAGCTGTGTGTGTGTGTGTGTTTATGAGCTGTGTGTGTGTGTGTTTATGAGCTGTGTGTGTGTGTGTGTTTATGAGCTGTGTGTGTGTGTGTTTATGAGCTGTGTGTGTGTGTGTGTTTATGAGCTGTGTGTGTGTGTGTTTATGAGCTGTGTGTGTGTGTGTGTTTATGAGCTGTGTGTGTGTGTGTTTATGAGCTGTGTGTGTGTGTGTTGTGTGTTCAGTCAGACAGGGGGCACAAGGTCACAGAGGTCATGTGATCACGAGACACATTCGCTGGTTTGTAAATGGACAGTTCACCCTATAATTAACATTCTGTCATCATTTACTTGTATTTTAATTCTATAAAACCAGATTATGATGAATGTTCACTCACAGAATCATCGTGAAAAATACTACATTACAAGTCTTGTGATGATTTGTTTGAGGATGCTCTTGATGCTCTTCAGTTATTTGTAAAGCATTTGTTCCTGCTCTCAATCACTATCACTCTATCTCTATCATGGAAAAGAGCAGCATGTGTTTACAGTGGCATTAAATGACACTTTTAGAATTCAGTTGTCCCTGGACAACAGAACATTCACAGTCACACTCACACACACACAATCACACACACACACTCACACTCACACACACACACACACACACACACACACACACACACACTCACTCACTCACACACACACACACACACACACTCTCACTCACTCACACACACACACACACACACATACACTCTTCTGCTCACACCCTACATGGCCAGACAGAGACAGACAGTCGTACAGAGGGACAGACAGGCTGTTGGACACAGTTTTCCATTTAAGCTGCTGGCAGCCGATTCTCTGTTGATTCATGCGAGGTAAACAGCGAGCAGCAGGAAGGGAGTGACCAGATCCATACACAACTTTCCATATCATCCGTAAAACAGGGTGTGACACAGGAAGTGATGTCACATCTGAAAACTCACAGAGCAACAGGTCTGAAGTTTATTTATCACACACACATCCTGACAGAGCCAGCGAGAACAGAGATATACCATCAACAGAGGATTATTAAAATACTGCACTCTAATCACATCTATGAAAATTAAAGCAAATTTAAACACATGGCACAGATAATGCAAATGATGCTGGTCAGTGTTGTGTTTGTATGTTCTAGCAAGTTAAAGGGATAGTTCATCCAAAAATGAACTGTTTGACCCTCTTGTTGTTCCAAACCTGTATGAATTATTTTAGGCCGATGATCTAAAAATGTGAAGAATGTTGGGAACCAAACAGTCGATGGTAGCCATTGACTTCCATAGTATGAAAAAACTATGGCTACCGTCAAATGTTTGGTTACCTACATTCTTCAAAATATCTTCTTTTGTGTTCAACAGAAGAAAGAATCTCGCACAGGTTTGGAACAACATGAGGGAGAGTAAATGATGACAGAATTTTCATTTTTGCATGAACTATCATTTTAAAAGAGATACTGTATTTACACAATGTAAATTTCTACACTAAGTGAAAAAGCCTCTTGGAGCCTATAAACTTGTCAAGGCAAATGCCGCTTCACATCTAACAGAAATATTCTCAGACCTTTTTGTTTCTGAATGTTTAAAAGTCCAGTTTTTTAAATGTTTTTCTTTATTACGCGAATGTGAAGCGAACATTCCATTTTATATTTTGCAAACGTTATGGGAATGTTACTTTTGAATGTTCCCTAAACATTCTGAAACAAAATGTAACATTTTGAGAAATGTTACATTTAAGAATAAAAGATCCATCAACAATGTGTAAATAATGTTTTTGTGCTAACATTTTGAGAATATTATTAAAGACCAGATAACTTTGAATGAGCGTTCTATTACAGCTTTTTTCAACTGCTTACATTTTCAAAACTTTGCCTCTTTTTTTTTCAAAACTTCACACACAAATCCAAGAGTTGCACACACAAAATGCAATGTTTGAGTGTCAGGTTTCAGAAATTGTGTGACAAGTAAAGATTTTGTGTGTAAGCAGTTGAAAAACTGTAATGTTGCTGTATATAAACCTGAATAATGGTGACAATCAAGAAAAGTGACAAACTAGACATCAGAAGAATTAGACATCACAACACAACAAATGACTAGCAATAATGACAACAACAACAACAAAAGTTCAATTAAAGTCAGAAAACTATAAGCCTACAACAGCAACTGCTTCATTTATTCAATGCATGCATGCTTGGAAGCTCAGTTTGAAACTGTTCAGTCAACTATGTTCTGTTAGATGGGTTTTTATGTAGCTTGATCATTCACATTTCACAGTACTTGTTTGGACTCAAAAGGCCCTTAAACTGAAAATATGCATTTGGTTAAGAGGATTCCGATGGTTTGAGAACAGAGAGGAGCCTGTTGTGTGTACGGCTGATGAGTGGCTCGCGGTGTTCAGAAGCAGCGTGCAGTGTTTACAGTCCTGCAGTGAAGCTCTGGCTCCAGCTCCAGCTCCAGCTGCTGTCTCATGCCTTGCTTTGTGCTGGAAATGTGGAACGTTCTGTGCAGTAAAACAGTTTACGCTGTTGCCTTG